GTCTAATAAGCTATTTGTATTATGCTTAGACGCCTTCCTGTTCTTCTTCTAATCGCGATTGGCGATTCACGTAGCGAATGCGTAACGCGTTGACGGGTACAAAAAAGTGAGAAAACAGAAAGAGATAGGTAAACGGCGGCCACAGCTTAGCGGATGTGTGCCCAAGGAAGTATGCTCCAAGGAAGTATGCTATCCACCCCAATGAACCTGCGAACCTTCTCTTGACGCTTGCGATTCACGCCTCTTCCATTACTCGTACTTCCTGAACGGCGGCTGACAAAATTACTTGTTATCTCAATCGGGTATTCAGGTCAGTAGTGCTGTAGCGAATTTTTTCGATCGAAAAGAACAATTTTTCGATTATTTGCAAGAGAAAATATGAAGAAAATCTTGAAGATTATTTTCGATAATCGAACAATGAATTGAGATCCAAAGCTTTTTAAAAACTAGAGTAGTCGCTATTGCGAATGAATGTGTGTTCATCAGAAAACAATTTTGGAAGCAGATACCGTGCGTGCTCACTAGATGATTACAAGGCGAAATTGCACGAAGTGAAAGTCAAATTGTTCCACCAGCTACGGCATTTTAAAGATGTAGCCTTGGAAAGTTTTATTTTCGTCATTGTAGAAATGCAAGCGGACTTTGAGGATTATGACACAAATAATGATGTAAGAAAGGCTTCGATATTTTAAGGAATCGTTCGATAAGTTATATCGCTCTGTTATACCCAATTATGCTATTCGTCACATCTCGCTCGAAGTCGATTAAAATCTTGATTTGACGGACATTAGCGGTAGTTGGGCGCGCAAGACGAGATTTGAAATTCTCAATTTTTTTAGGCAAAGAAAAGGATGCAGGATGGTGTGGTCTATTAAAATGGGATATATGTTTTATTCAAGACTTATTCGCTTATCCGAATTAAAATTGGGCAATTCATTTGGACAGTCAGTGCGAGAAATTTACTTTAATTACTTGCAGCATTACCAACAAGCAAGTTTTTCTTACATTTCTTTACCTCCGCTGAAAGATTCTAAAATTTGTAGTTACCTGTTCCTCTTCTTTCTGCTTCTTTTTTTTTTTTTTCTCTATGTAAATTTCGCAATTGTTAGTAGGATTTCGTGCTCAGATTTGAGATATATCAGCTGCACCCAGCTTTGCTTATAACTTATATCTTGTGTCTAGCATGACATGCACGGCTAGTGAGTTCATATAACACATTCAAAGATTAACAGAATGAAAAAATTATCTCAAATTTTTAAAATAGAAGCAGAATTTAAGTTTGCAGATTTTTTTATTCACCTTAGATCACTGTGATAAGCAAACGCCATTTAGCCCTTTCTCACCTTAGGCAGATGAGTGCAAGATGCAAGTGAGATGGTGAGATGGAAATTCAATTTGATATCATAAATGTCGTTTTCGAACTCGCAGTTGATCTCCCAATAACCTCGTCTGCTTTATGTTGATCAAAGGTTTATATATACTATGGACAAGGTCTTTGCAATACTTGCGCTACACAGATTTGAAATCATTGCGGCACGCGTAATGAATTACTTATTCCACTGTGGTTAGTATTGGTGGTTTGGGTCCTCGCTAAATTACTCATTTGTTTCTCTAAAGCAAAGCTTAGTGGTTCCAAGGGGAAGTATTTGAAAAATTCCAAAAATGTTTATTATGCAAACAACTTCCTCACAATAAAAAAAAAAAAAGTACTCATTTGTTACAGTCATAATGCTTTCCTCTGACTCAGCGTTTTAATTAATAGCACTCCTCACAATACAATTAGTTTGCACACAATGCTCGCGCTACCTTATATATACTGGCGTTCATTTGATTAAAAAGCGAAAATTGCATAATAATAACAAACGAGCAAAGAGCGCATTTTAAAAGTAACAACAGCAAAAAAATTTCCAACAAAAATGAAATAATTGTTTTAAATTCATCGATAAATAGCGTAAATAATGGGCGAAAAAAAATCGATGTAATAAGTTATCAGATAACCGGGCAAATATCAAGTTAAGAAAGCAAACAATCGGGTTTCGATGAGGAAGTAAGGGGCAAATTTCCACAGAAAGAGAAAGATAGAGAGAGAGAGAGAGAGAGAGAGAGCGACAGATAGAGATAGAAAAGAGGAAAGAAAGAAATCGTTTCTCACCCTTGTGTCAAGCGGATGGCTAATGCAATTTATGATTAGTTAGAGTTGGTCTTATCATAAGGTATAAAGAACAAGCGGTTGTGTTATTGTTTAAATGACAGTCTTTTTCTTTTTTTGATTGAAAACAGCTTGTTTTCTTTCTTTTTAATAAAAGCTGTTCCTTCGAATGCGTTGAGCAGACCTGGTACAAAATGCAAATATCGTTTTATTAAAACAGAATTTTGACTGCTTTTATCCAACACACTTGTCTTGATAGTATACACCAATCATGATGATCATGATGATAATATATTTAAAGAAAAAAAAAGTTTGTGTTCCAATTGCATTCTCCTTCAATTATCTTATCTAGGTGATCTTGAATAAAATATTTATAAAAATGCTTGTGCAGTGAGAGAAATATTAAGCTAAAAAATGAAAATGATTGCTTGAAAGGATCAGATAGCTTTAGTCAATTTAAATGTACATAGAAACGATAAATGCGCCTCGATTGCGAATTCATCAAAAATTCCGATAATCATATTGATAATAAAATTGTTTATATGATCGATATAATGCGTAAAATAAGTCGCTATTTTACATTGCGACAGACTGAGATCTTTTGTGTCAAATATCGCGAGTAGATAAAAAGCGATAACTTTCATAGATGTTTGCTATAAATCCATTCACAATTTTGAATCCGTAATGGATATGTACATTGAGGGAGCTACAGGACGTATTTCGTCGCGTTTGATGCAAACGACAAGGAAAACTTTATTGTCAAGCTTTCCTTTGTGGTTGGAAGTAAAAATTTCCAAACCTATCATTAGTGGTAGACGGTTTCGCCTTTTACTCGAATTCAGTTTCGCGATCCTCGATATTAATTTCAATATTAATTCCACGCAATAATCTTATCTTTCCTTTTAATTTTTTCTCTTATTTTTTTTTTTAATTGCAAATCTTTTTGATAGATTTTTCACACTGTACAGATCGTAAAATAAATGATTAATCATTTTGTTATTGCTTTTGTGCAGCAGTACGAATCATCCATTGAAATTTTCGAGATTATATAATCACTTTCACGATTCAATGATGAGATTATCGAATATTTGTTTGATGCTAAAATGCCTTTTCTCGCATGCGATACAAAGACGATTTTTTTTTTTTTTTTTTGGTTTCCAACATGTTTGTTTGAACACTTGCACAATTGCTTTTAATCGGAATGAACAAGTCTGCTGCAGACATTAAAGTTTCTTCAAATATAATGGAAATATTTTCGATAAATATTTTCTATAACAATTTCAAACGATATGATTATAAATCATATCGATATAGAAATGGTTAAAATTAAAATAAAAAAAAAATAAGATAAATGCGATTTTCGTTTACGCGCATTATGGCCCAAGTTTCTGTTTAAAGCGGATTACTTTGCTTTAGAAAGTTCTTCCCTGAAGAACTCATTAATTTAGTTATTGATTAATGGCAGCTATCGAATCATAAGCTCGTCTATAACTGTAGCGTGAATAAATTTAAACGTAAATAAATTAAATCAAAATTATAATCTCATTGTCTGAGCGCTTGGCCTATTATTTTTTTTAAGAATTTGTTTTGAGTCCACTCTTCTTTTGTTGATGTACCAATTTTTGTGAAAAAAACTCAAAGATTTTTGGGCTGTCTGGCAGACGGACAGGTGAACTTACAATTTCATATAGCCATGGAAGCACGCCATCAAATAAGATTAATTCCCTTTAGCAAGGGCACTCCGGATTTTAAGGTTATCGTTATACGTGTCTTCTTTAATCTGAAGAATGAATGTATGGTATCTATATCTATATATTATGGGTGTTTGAAGCATATTTCAATGTACTTTATATATGATGAAAGAACGAGCCCGCGAAGTCTTTGTATTAAAAAACCTATAGTCTATAGTCGCTTATTTGCCGTAAAGATCAGAGCAACTGCATCCTATCCCGTTAGTAGCGTTCCTCAACGATTGTTTCCGCACTAAGTGTGAATTAATCTCTTTAAGTGATGATGACAAGTAAATGCTGCTTTACTAGTGACTTGAATGATCCTCTCAACTTTTACGATGATGTTTTGCTCGTTCGATATTGTTTTGCTTCCATTGACTGTTTACATTACCTGCCAAGAGTTAATACAGAACTTGACTTATTTAAATCTTCGGATGGCCGTGTTTTGTAAACTGCAACGGACTAGCTGACGCAACTGTGTAACGCAGAAAGATGATACCTTCAGCAGGAAATGCCTTCATTTCACAAATATTCGGAGATAACATAGCGCCATCTCTTAGAAAGACCAATAGCGACCTTTTGATGCATCCGCATAGTTCCACAATGAAATTCCAAATGCTATCATTTGTGTTTTTGTTTGCCGCGTCATTTGACGATTGAATGGCATGAGTGGATGCTTACAAGAGAATTGTATTACGAAAACTCGTTGTACGGTCGAAGCCTGCACAAAAATCGATATACGATCAACTAGAGTATTTCATGTCAATCAAATCAAGCCTTTTTCTCAATTTCTCAAGTCAACGTCTTCAACATGAGAATTAACTTCATTTAGCTTAGATTAGTTAGTTGTTTCGAAAAATTTTCTTCATTTTTAATTTGCTCGACTTTCGACTGCTACGATTTCTTGCAGAGACCCAACCTTAATACCAACTTTATGTAATATGAAATGCTTATACCGCGTGGAGTGATTGGTATATCTATGCAATTTGATCGACGACACTTTATACTAAAAAATAAATTGAAAGCTTCGACTACCAAGGTTGACTGATATAACTCGATGTCCGATATAGCTTGAATTCATAAGATTGTGTTCATAATTTCCCTCTTTTCTTTTTTTTCAGTGTCGTCATCTGCTTTTATTGCCATAAAAATATTAAGATACAAAAAAAAAAATGTTTATCCAGAAAATGTCAAGCAAATGCTGCGTCGCTGAAGTAGTCAATTAGTAATGAGGAATAACTACCCGCAGAATTATTGTTCATCTGAATGCAGCTACAGTAGAATCAAGAACAAAAACAAAAAGAAAAAGAAGCAAAAAAAGCACCCTGAATAATAAGGCCGTAAAATAATAAATGGTTATATTATTGTGTTTTTGTTTTTGGGATAGTTTTGCTCTCGCGGTAAAGCATAAAACACAACAGATTAGTGGATAGAAGTTCAGTCAAACGGCAACAATCAAAGCGGTAAAGTGCACTGACAACAAAAGACGACAAATTATTATTCGCATAATAATAATAAATAAGATCCATAAAGAAGATCCAAATTGTTAAGCGTTCTTAACGGATATGCAGCCCGAAGCCGAGTCCAATTTTCAAAGCAGCAAATTGTTGAAAAAAGCCATTCTGAACCTTACGATATTTGTGGCATTACTGATACCGTTAATAGTTTGCGAATTCGTCATCGAACCATATCGTCGCGGGTTTTTTTGCAACGATGAAACGATCAAATATCCTTTTCGCGGCAATACGATAACACCGGTGCTTTTAGGCCTAATAATCGCTTCACCACCTTTACTTATAATAACAAGTGGTGAATACACTCGATTGCGGTATAAAAGGAATACAAACGATATTCGTTGCTTATGGGGTCTAATTGTACCGTTATGGTTAATTAATTGCTTTGAGCAATTGACATATTTCACATTTGGTCTACTGCTAACTACCGATGCAACCGAAATTGGTAAATACACTATAGGACGTATACGACCGCATTTTATTGCGGTATGTCAACCGCAATTTCACGATGGCTCCAGCTGTTCAAATGCAACGAATCAACTTCGTTACGTCGAAAACTATTATTGTGCAAGCACGGGCTACAATGCTGACGACGTTAGACAAGCACGTCTTTCATTTCCCAGCGGACACGCTAGTCTAGCATTTTATTCATTACTTTATATGATCATCTACTTGCAAAACCGTGTCGTCTGGCAGAAGGGTCAACTTATCAAACCGTTCATACAATTTATTCTGATTATCTCGGCTTGGTTTATTGCGTTAACCCGCATTATGGATAATTGGCATCATTGGTCTGACGTTTTGGCCGGTTCCATATTGGGTACTTTAGGTGCTTTGCTAACGGCCGGCTATATCAGCAAAATGTATAGATCGCCATCATTGGTATTAGACGGTCTACCCCGACAAGACACTTCAGCTACGCTTAACGAAGTGTTGGCGAGTACACCGCCGCCTTACACGATGCAGCAGAAAATTAAAACATTTACCGAGCATGAGTATTCTTCAAAAGTGTAGTTCTGAGATGAAAAGTATTTAGGACTTTTTTTTTCCTTTTCTTATATTTTGTAAATAAATATTTCTCTCTTTAGCATTATTTTTAATTTATATTTGAATTAAGGATTTTCGTTGTAAGCTAAACGATATGTACAAAATATTTTTGTGTCTTTTTTATATATAATGCAAGCCAAATATCATTTTATCGCTTTACCCAAACTTAGTTTCTTAATAAATTTTCTTTTTACATCGAATTAATATGATTCATAAAAACTTTATTCTTTATTTCTTTGATAGTAACGCAACTTTATGAAATTAAGGTGAGCCAGCCATGCATCGATATTTCTGTCTAGTCACTAACATTAATGACGAAAATCAGGTCGACCATAAGTAATTCTCTAATACGAAATCAAGTGCCGCTTGACAATAAGATATAGGAAAGAAAAAGAGAAATCAAAATTTATTTTGTCTAGACTTATAAAAATATAATTGAAATTTTACGTCACCTTTAGTTCAGGGAAGAATTACAAGCAAGAAGAATTAAATAAAAGCATAGCATAAGCAAATTTTAATGTTTGTGCTTTTCCAATGATCGACATAAGCCGGTCAGGTGCGATCAAGCCCATTGATCGAGAATTTTATTAGTAGATTTAAAGGTCAGGGCCTTCGTTCATACGGAGTTCGGCTTATGTAAGCCAAAGATCTTGCCCAAGTGCACGATACGACAAATCGCCTTTCTACTCAGCATTAATTTATTTATTCAGTTGTTTCAGTTCCAAGTCAAACGTCTTATGTAATGATATTTCCAGATGAATTCTGCTTCTCTATCCTCTGTCCGCTATCGTAAACTGTAGTGATTATATTTTCTTCTTAGCTCTTTTCATCATTTTCCCTCCAATTTGCCATTTCAATGCAGAAGTGACAATACAGCTTTCCAATGTCAATTTTATGCTATACCAGGGCCATTCATTAGCTTATGAAAATCGGAAATTGAAGTCTCACAAAAAGAAAACCGATTCTGCTTTAGAACGTGAAACAAATTAAAGGTAAATTATTTAATATACTCGTGATGCGTCGACTTTCCTTTTCTCAATTGCATAAAAACATTGCAACTATTTTTTCTTTCATTTTTTATGCACTTTTCTTTTACGTAGTTTTTTTAATATTTAAATATTTTCTTTTCATACCCATACATTGTACGCTTGGCGACAAGCGTAGTAAAAACGCGGGAAATAGTATCTAACATTAGCTACGAATTTTTCGGGTTCTTCCGAGAGCATTCGGATACCACATCGGAAGAAGTTTTTTTAATATTTTGAGGCCATCAACCAATCGACCCTGTTATTGGGATCTTAAAATGGTGTAAAGCGCGGCTCAGACAGTCCATGCATCATCGATCGGTGCAAGTAATAAGAGGAGGGTGAAAGTGTACCGAATATGGCGATGGGGTAGGGTAGGCCATTACGGGTTAGAATTGCAAACGTTCCTTGAACCTTGAAGTTCTTCGATATGCGTTCAATTTTCTTGATACTGAATATTTACGATATCATGACTTTTCGCTTGTCACGCTCTTTGTTTGTCGCAATTGGATCAATTAATGTTAGGAGCACTGTTTCCACATGTACTGTTCACACACACTATAGTACTGTTCACTGTTTATTGTTTATTTATTCGCCGTAGCTTAAAAGATGATAGCGCCTTGTACTCACTAAACGTAGAGTCGTTTTACTAAATGCGATTATTGTGAAACGAAAGTGCGAGCCTTAAAGTACATAAAAAATTATTTTCATATCATTTAAAAAAAAAAAAAGCAAATGAAAGGCGTGGCAGTTTTCGTAAAGCTTATGCATATTTTTTCCTATCTAACGTATCATTACAGGCCACAATTTTGCACCTGGAACAAGCCAAGCATTTTCCGAAAACATGACTGCAATGACATGAATAGGCGATGCAACGTTTTGTTTGAAAACTTGTTAAAAAAGAAAAAATGGAATAAATTTGAAATATTTCCTATTTACTTGTAAAAATTGCTTAGAACGTCATCATAAAGTCTGTGAAAATGTCAATTGCAACATAACGAACTGGGGGCTTGAGGTACATTAGAAAACTGTTGAAGTTTTCGCACAAAATCTGATGGGGCCTGTGGTAGGCTAAACTTGAACAACATGTGCACAACTGAGTTAGTTTCAAGTTTGAATACTCGATTTTATAGGAAAGTTTAGTTTATCTGTTTGTTTGTTTGTTTATTTGTTTGTTTGTCCGCAATGTCATCATACTGTTGCTTTGTCATTATTAATGCTATGTTGTTATTCGTCAAGTTGTCTCGTGCACAAGCAACACCCCTAAAAGGATTAGTTTTACCTATGTTTGCCTATATTTGAAAAAACGTTTAAGAGATCGTTCGTGGCGAGAGAAGCGAAGAAAGGACATGATATAAAAATCACATTTTGCAGATAATCACGACCTTCTGCCACCGTTCATTCATTCATTTCTACTCCGCTTACGTTATACGTAAGTTATGCGCAATGAAATAAAACTTGCTTTTATGTTAGTTAGGCCTTGTACGCCGGCTTCGGTTTTAAATAAACGAATCTTCAGATGCGAGTGAATTGTTCCTTTTCGGCCAGTTAATGTTATTTGAACTATACTGCGTCTATAAAATGTTTCCGATTGTTCATCAATTTGTGATAATGTATGTATGTATGTATGTATGTGTGTATATGTGTATATATGTGTATATGTGTGTGTATATATATATATATATATATATATATATATATATATATATATAT